CTCAGTCCTTGACAGTTACACATCCTTTCAGACTCACAGTGTTGTCTTCTCACAGTGGAAGGATGGACAAAAACACCTGTGAATGGCTGTATTTACATACAAGGACTTTTGCTGATTCAACTGAATACATTCCGATTATATGTTAAGACTAAAGTGTTTATATGGTCACTCTACTCAACAATCTGATAGAAAATCTCTGTTTACATGCTCACTACAAGTAATCTGATCCAAAATAACACACTTGCATCGAGTATCTCTTACTGTAGATGTTACCATGACAACAAAAATTACATGAGTCCAGTCAGCATGAGACGGGCAGCAGTGAGCAGTGCTTGTGTTTTTAATTACTTTAAAATTATGTCAGACTTAAGAAAACGTACTTCACTATTAAAGAATGCTGAGAGGAAGACATCGTGTTCTGCGTCACATAAGCTGGACGCCCGTCCCACCGCCGTCTTTTAAAGATCAAAACATAAACTTTGTCTCCTCTGCAGACCAGTTTCTGCTCCACCATGTCGAACATTATAGACTTTCGCTATGACACGAACACACATGCACAGAATGTACCTACACATTCCGATTGGAAATGTAATCGGATACAGGCATTTACAGGGCTATTCTTCTTCTATTTAACAGATTATTTACAGGATTACCCGCCTCGTTCAATCGGATAGAACTTGTATTACGAATGGCCTCAGCGAGACTAGTCTATTCCGATTGAGGTGTATACATGGGACGTGTTCTATTCCGATTGAGCTATTAGTCGGATTATTAATGGATCTGAAGCAAGAGTGGAGCTTGATTTTCTCCTCTTTCACGAAGATGAAAGCTTTAAAAATGGTTATCTTATGGTGACAGCTTTGTTGGTCTGCCAGATCTTGCATAATTGTCCCATTTTCTTTGTATCTTTTAATAATTTTGTTGTGCTCAAGGTTTGGAATCTCATTTTCCTTTGACTTTCCTGTTTCCTTAATGCGTGTAGATGATCTCTTCAGAAATATCTTCTGAAAAATTAATAATTTGGACTTTATGGCTGTTTTGACTGAAAATGTAGTAAATAAATGCTGGTCTTTGACTTTTCCGCAGTACTGTACATGTATAAAATGGTGTCTAATATGAAATTGGTACTCTACAACTTGACAAATTGCAAGTTGATGACTGATGAATGATGAGATGAAGATTATTCTAAAATGACTGAGAAGGCTGTATAACATAATAAAATTAAACAATATTAAAATCTGAGGACAGAAACCCATAAAGAAATTACAGTTTATTATTTGATAAATTATTGTTGGCCCCAAGATGCATAAAATATTGCATAAAATGTCCAATGTCAAAATGCTTCATTATTTTTTCTTTATATATGTGTGTTTATGTAGCTGTAAATCTTGTGCTCTGTCTTCCTCTCTGGCAGAACGCCATGGTGTCGTTTAAGGAGCTGTGTGGTCTGACCCCAGCGGCCAACATGAAGCAGTGTATCCTGACCGTGTCATCGTGGCTGCTGAACAGCGAGCGCTCTCTGCGGGTTACAGTGGATCTGAGTGAGGCCTATCCCACCATGGAGGCACAAGGTCCTGTCCCAGAGCTGCTGCGCAAAGTCCTCACTGCCTATGACACGGTAAGCACATGCTAGTATGCTAACACAACTAGACGATGTCCATAGCACATTCTTCTTTCATGCTAACATATATTAAAAGTTATACAATAACTTAAACCAGTAGGTTTAAGGTTGGTAAAAAAAAAAATTATACTTTTCCAGCTGCCCCAGATTTTTGTTTAACTTGTTAAAGTTAATAATAAAAAAGAACTTAACTTTAAAATACTTTGGCCATAGTACAGACATAAGTGTGCTTGTTTTAGGCTGTTTTATTTATAGATTTTCTGCAGTGCTGTTTAAGTTGATGGTACATTTTCATAGCGAGCTGAATCACTGAGCTGTTTCAGGGGTATTAAGCTAAAATGTAAGCAGGTTTATGTGTCCAGAGTCCAAGCGTATGCAGAGTTGCAGGCCTGTCCTGAGTCCTAAAAAAAAAATATCTAATCTAGTCCAGAATATGAGTGATGGGGTGTGCATCAGTGGTTTGGTGTATAGGTTATATGTGTATATTGTCATCTCTCGCCACTTTATAACGTGTTATGTTATCTATAAAATTGATTAAAGTGTGTGTCCATTTACAGATAGTAGTATGTCATACAGTTCAGTGGGGTATAAGAATCTATTACGTTTTAGCTACATTAGCCATGTAGCTTTAGTGCAAAACTAAACAAGCAAACTCTGGACAACAAACATGCCTTGGCTGATTGACATTTGAGGTAAGTGGCAAAAATTGTGAAAATGTATTGGTTTTCCCGAAACTCTTCCCTCATAGCTAATATATTACCTACACATCATTAACACTATTCTCCACTCTACTTCTGGATCTTCAGCAAGGCAGGCCAGGCTGCTGAAGCCAGAACAAACTGTCCACATTGCACTATCGTGCTGTTGTATATTTTAAAAAATATGGAGTTAATCAGTAAGTTAAAGCAAAAAATGATAAATTGGTCTTTTGAGATCTTGTATAGTTTTGCAATCACTCCTCAAACCACAACCGTTAATTGAAGCCATGGTCATGGGTCATTATACATTGACTATAAATTCGACCTCAATCCCCATTAGATCTATCCATGCTCCACCCACAAACACTTTCGCAAAAATCCTGTCCAGCCTAATGAATTTAGGCTGGAGTTTAGAGTTTAGTTTTGCTACATAACATGGAGGTTCCAGTTTAAAAAGCTGTGCTAGCAAAATGAGAGTCGGTTTCCCGGACAGGGATTAAGCCTAGTCCATGACTTCACAGCATTTTGGATAGAGTTTCTCCATTGAAAGGAAAATGTAGTCGAGGACAAGGTTTAATTCAATCAAACCGACCTTATGTTGTTGTAGCTAAAAGGATCCTAAAAAAAGTCTTACGTCTTAAAATATATTTTACAAAATAGAGGTCATAAAATTTCTTATTTTTAAAAAAAATGCCTTAAATTCTAAGATGATGTATAAAGGGGGACTGAAAAGCATCTCTGTTAATATTAAACTAATTCAGAATAGCCCCTCAACCAAAAATGTCCAGTTGACAGCGACCCTGTGGTCAGAAACTAGGCTAGGGAATTAAAAAAAAGCTGAACACGCTGAAAGGCTGTGCAGGGACCATGCACTCTCAAAACATATATCCATTTTTTTTACATTTTCAGCCATCCCGTCTGAATGAAAGAGACATTAAAACGTGCGGTGTTTGCGTGTGTAGTTTTGCTGTGGAAATGGTATTATTTTTTCTTTGTTGTGGTCTTAAAAAGGTATAACAAGACAACAGTTGCTAATGCTAATGTTAGCTTGATTACCTGACAATAAAATGTTGTCCAAAGCATCTAAATTAACCTTGTGATCTTTTACATACATACAAAAAAAATATTATCATTAATACTAATAAAGCAAAAAATGAGTTATGCACTACAATTTTGTATTTGAGTTACTTTGTATTTTTGGGTTTGTGGGCGGAGCATGAATATGGATAAGTCAGTTCCCATAGGAGGTGGTGCATTACTGTGGTGTGTACACGACACCGTACGCACAGCTAGCATGTCACACACGTCTCTCTTTCCCACATTGTGACATAGTACACAGTTAGTTACTTCACTTATCACTGACAGAGCACAATCTGTCAGACTCACACACACACACACACACACACACACACACACACACTCACACACACAGACCAGCCACAGTGTTGGCCATGCAGTGCACTTTCCCTGCAGTGGAGTTCCATACTGATCTGAGCAGACAGGCTCATGTATAATTTGTGTGCATGAGTGTGTGTGTGTATTTGTATAAAGCACAGCTGAAAGCAGCTGCTACAGAACAGTGTGTTCACTGCACATGTTCTCCTGCAGTGTGCTGGTCTAGTCTTTCCACTCTGAATGGTGTCCATGCCCCTATTAAAGTGATAATTTAGTGATAAAAATCTAATTTGCACTATTTCTTCCTACCTCAAATGTAGTTGATCAGCCAAGACATTGGACAAAGTGTGCGGCAAAGATAAAACCAATAGTAGTGGCTGGAATTTTGTCTGCTTTTTTGTCCATTTTTATAGATACAGTGAAGGGATGCAAGTATCGCTTTTGTTATTTAATTTATTTACAGTGAATATATCCACTTCAGATTCACACACATAGTGCCCCTTATTCATCAGAGCATATGATCAAATCTGACCACAGTGCAAATTTCAGAGAGAGTTTTGTCACTGATCAGTTGGTAAGAAACTGTATGATCACAGTCACGTCTGGTAGGAGTGTGTGTGAATTTAAATGTAATAGTTTAATGAACAGAAAAAAATGCTTGATTTTCAGCAACCAAAGCAATTATCAATATCATCTATACTATCAATAATAACAATAAAATCATAAAAAAAAATACAGAAAAGACAATAGTTTTATGCAAGCCGCTACTGGAGTACTTAAGTGGCCAAACATGTGACATCACTGTTCTGTTGTCATACTGAATCTCTGCAGCAGTTTGACACACATACTCACACGCTCAGTGAGGAATGACCTCAGCATCATGACACTGGACCTCACTGGTCTGAAACCATTCATTCACAAACACAGTCACATTTGCTGTGCTCAAAGGCTCAGTTGGGTATGAATGTGTGTGTGTGTGTGCATGTGTGTGTGTAAGTGTGTGGATGAATGAAGTCACTGTGCTGCAAGAAACAATGAAATGGCACTAATCTCCCTTCACTCAGCTGCAGGAAGCACATTTATTGTTTATTCTGGCCTGGTAAAGATACTGAATCTTTTTGTCAATGTAGTACAAAACTATGTCTCTCTGTGTGTGTCCCACTTCCTGCGGATACTCGACTTCCTGTTTCCTGTTTCTGGTTTCCTGTAGATGATCCAGACGAGTCGCACTTTGATTGAATCAGCAGACAGTGTTTACTGCAAACTCACACAAGCACAACGAGCAG